TTGTTAATTAGAACCTTACCTAGCAAGGCTCTGGGTGCCCATTTTTAATGTAAATTCAGCAGTCTGGAAGCATATAGGCTTACATAATAATATAGTTCCAAAGGTTCTTGCAGATGAAGACTGGGATTTTCAGAGGCACAAAGGGCAGCTAGTTGCCAGCTCCCATTTGTGCCTTTGAATATCTCCCTTTAAATACTTACCTCAAGCATAAGAACATTCATACTGGGTCAGACCAAAGGTCCATTTAGCCCAGTATCCTGTCTTCCAACAGTGGCCAATGCCACATGCCCCAGGGGGAGTGAACAGACCAGGTGATCCCTCTACTAACATCCATTTCCAGCCTCTGACAAAAAAGCAAGAGACACCATTCCTACTCATTCTAGCTAAGAAGTATTGATGAACCTAATGTCCATGAATTTATCTAGTTGTTTTTTGAACCCTGTTAAAGTCCTGTTCTTCACAACCTCCTATGGCAAGGAGTTCCACAGGTTGACTGTGTACTGCATGAAGAAAAACTTCCTTTTGTTTGTTTCAAACCTGCTACCTCTTAATTTCATTTGGTGACCCCTAGTTCTTACATTATGGGAACAAGTAAATAACTTTTTCTTATTAACTTTCTCCATACCTGTCATGATTTTATAGACCTCTATCATACCCCCCCTTCGTCTCCTTGTTTCTAAGCTGAAAATTCCCAATTTTTTAAATCTCTCTTCATATGGCACCCATTCTAAACCCCTAATCATTTTGTTGCCCTTTTCTGAATCTTTTCCAATGCCAATATATCTTTTTGGAGATGAGATGACCACATCTGTGCACCATGTTCAAGATGTGGGTGTACCATGGATTTATAAAGAGGCAATAAGATATTCTCTATCCCTTTTTTAATTATTCCTAACATTCTGTTTGCTTTTTTGACCTCTACTCCATACTAAGTGGCTGCGTCTAGACTGGCAAGTTTTTCCACAAAAGCAGCTGCTTTTGCGGAAAAACTTGCCAGCTGTCTACACTGGCTGCTTGAATTTCCACAAGAACACTGACTTCCTACTGTCTGAAATCAGTGCTTCTTGCGGAAATACTATGCTGCTCCCGTTTGGGCAAAAGGGCCAATGTAGATAGCTCACATTTGTTTTGCGCAAAAAAGCCCCAATTGCAAAAATGGCGATCGGGGCTTTTTTGCGGAAAAGCACATCTAGACGCTTTTCCGCAAAAAGTGCTTTTTTGCCAAGTCCGTGCCAATCTAGACGCTCTTTTCTGCAAATGCTTTTAATGGAAAACTTTTCCGTTAAAAGCATTTGTGGAAAATCATGCCAGTCTAGACGTAGCCAGTGGGTATTTTCAGAGAACTATCTTTAATGATTCCAAGATCTCTTATTTGAGTAGTTATAGCTAATTTAGTCCCCATCATAGAGTATGTATAGTTGGGATTATTTTTTCCAATATGCACTATTTTGCATTTACCAGCATTAAATTTCATTTGCCATTTTGTTGTCCAATCATCTAGTTTGTTAGTAGTGCCAGTAAAACTGTCTCATGGTCTCCTATCTGTTTTATACTTGGATTACAAGGCCTTTGTAGTCCTAGTCCATAGGTTTTTATGTTTACTCAAGAAACACTTCACACCGTGAGAGTTGCATCACTATTCTTTATTCACAACTGATCCATTACCTAAAAAACTCCCAAAACTATATTAGAGGCAAGGTGGGTGAGGTAATATCTTTTATTGGACCAGCTTCTAATTGTGAGAGATGAGCTTTGAAGCTTACACAGAGCTGTTCTTCAGATCTGCGTAATGCACTCAGAGTGGCAGAGTTAAATGTAGGCTAAAACACATTCCTACTTGAAGTAGGAATAAGAGATCCTCCGGAAAAGGGCTTTTTCCCGGAGGATCGGGGCCAGTGTAGACGCTCTCTTCCGGCTTTTCTACAAGCCAGAAAAAAGCGGCAGACATTTTTATTTAAATGCCGCGGGGGATATTTAAATCCCCCGCGGATTTCCCTATTACGACCTGGAAAATTAGCATGCCCCTTTCGGAAAAGGGGCCAGTGTAGACGTAGCTACAGTGTGTAGATTAGATCATAAGGAAAACTTTTAAAACCTGTGATTGTGTAAACAATGCACAAATTAGAGAGTTACCTTGTCAATGCAAGTGCCTGTACAGTTCCAGTGCTGATTAAAAAGCAAGCACTGTATTGTTTCACTAAATTTAGTCCTTCCTACCCAGCTTGCTCAAATAACATAAGTAGTGCTGACAGAGCTAGATATTTTTACACAGAAATAACATAGTTATTGGATATTTGGGATGATGCTCTGCAAAGCAAAATTTACAACTTCTGACAAAATAGAAGCTGTACAACCCTCATAAACAAAGATATACCCTGAGCAGACCCACTGCAATAATGAAGTGAAAGTCAGTTTACAAAAAAAATCACTAAGTTAAAACATTATGTACAGTAAAAGACTAACATTAGAAACCTGAGCCCCCAAACAAATTCAACAGCTAAAAAAGTCTAGAGCGAAGTAGTTATACAAAAAAGTCCCCCCTGTGGAGTGTGGATATGGTAGGCATGTTGACTGAAAACATTCAAAACACAGTGCAATAAATTGGAATATAAAAGATTTGGTATTGAAGACTCATTTCAGATTAGGAAGTTGCCCTATCATTTAATATAGGCTTCAAGATAATACTTCCATCTACACGTACAGGTTGAACCTCTAGTCTGGTACCCTTGGGATTAGACTGGTGCAGAACCATGGGAGATCAATATTGTAGTGAATAAATGGGACAATGCTTGCAATGTTGCTGAATGTATGACTATACTGATATACCCTATAAAAGCATATATCTAGCCAAGACTCACCAACTCTCTTTATAACAAAGATACACAATTTTATTGTATTGGCACAAGGAAATAAGTAGCATAAAAACCATGCTTACATTTAGAAGCATTACCAACACTTCCACTACTTGCTGGCCTCTTAGAAGATATTAGGGGTAAATTAGATCTAAAAAGCACTGAATAGAGCCATCTGTAAACAAACTTTATGGGACAGTGGGGAACTTGACCACATCCATAATAAGTGGGCATCCAGCTAACTAAAATTATGCCAGACCACAGAGAGACAGATTAGAAAGGTTCAACCTGTATTAACATTGTTCAATGGCCTAGAAGCATGCATAAGAATAAAGGCACTGTCCCTCTCCTGGAGGAGATGTGGTTATACATTACAAAAACACTGAAGAGCATGAGAGCACAGATCGTGCTCAGGCATTAATAAGCCTAGAGAAAACCAAAATTTATGTTTATTTGGCCTGAGAGATTATGTTGAGGTGCACTTCATGACCTTCTCTAGCATATAAAGACCTAAAAGCTACTGAAGCACTGTGTGACAGTGAAGGTGACCTATTACATCCTTATATTTAAGATATACTTGATTCGGTAAGACGGAAATTTCTGTCAGCCCATTTTATAATTTGTTTAGGCTATCCAATCATCTTTGGCAATTCCAGATCACACGTGGATAAACTAAGTTTACCAACTTATGCATTGTATTAAGTTTTAGCTACTGGGCAGAATTACTTAAGTAGTTTCAGTGATATGTTTTTCAACACACTATGAAAAAGAATGAAAAACATTTGTAAGAACCTAAAGGTTCTCTCAAGGTCAACAAGAGTCTTGGGAGGGAATCTGGGTGGGGAAGGGGGTCTGGGTGCAGCCTCTGGGCTGGGGCAGTGGTATAGCCTCTAGGAGTGGGGCACTGAGGGGAAGAGGGTGTGGGGTGCAGTGCTTTCCTGGAGCAACTGGGGAGGGCTGGGGGACTCTGCATGCTGCTTCTGCCTGTAGGCACAGCCCCCACAACTTCCCACTTGCCACAGGGCTGCTTGGGGCAGGGATAGTATGCAGACACACATGCTGCAGGGCAGCAGAAAAATGCTCGGCCCTGCTGAGTTGGCGGGGGCCCCAGACTGTTTTATAGCATCCAGTGTCAGCAAGCAGGCCAGGGGACACATGAAAGAATAGCATGTAGGGGCAGCAGGCAGGGCCATGGCAAAGACCCAGTCCTAAAAGCTTTGGCGGAGCATAGCCCCGAGCCAGGAATATTCCTGGTGCCTGAGAGCATCATGGGCCCATATAACTTGCTGCTTATATCAAGCAGCAAAGCTCTGGAACAGCTTATACAGTGACGGCACACACCCCCATTGCCGACCATAGTGCCCTGGGCAGTTGTCCGCCTTGTAGGCCAGTCCTGGGACTTTGGACTATGAGCTCCAGATCTGCAGCATGATCTTTTCTTCTTCTAAACAGACTGACCATCCTCCTGTTCCAGGACCTATAGAGTAATGCCCATAAGTAATGTTCCTGATTGACGAAACAGGCCGATTCCTTTCTAAACACTGACATTTTTTCATACTGTTGCACTTTGCCTCACTGAGTGGTTTGGTTTACTTGGGATGCACCAGTCATCTGCCTCTGTTGCTGTTTGATAACGCTTGAAGGCAGACTTGTTGAACACAGGGAGCTTTTCTATTGATTCAGTTGAAAGAGCCTAAAAACAAAAAACAAAAATATCCTCAAAAGACAAGAATTACTTATTCAATTATCTCTTTCAAGTCACTTTTCCAGAACAGTAAGAGTTCTAATAGATCATTTAAAAATCATAAAGCAATATACACATAACAGTAAGTTTTAAAGACCTGAACCACTGACATTCATTAAATAACTAATCTAAGTATTGATTAATAGTTCCACATTATTCTTTTGCATCTGCAATAGACCATAGTAGTATGTGGTCTTGTGCTTATGTTTGCCATGGAGAGTTTGGACAGGAGAAAGATGTCCTCTAATGTCAAGAGATGTTGCCACCAGATTTTACAGGCTAAGACCAGTGTTCTCTGTAAGCTGTGTGCTTGGGTGGCCATGCAGAAGAGATTCAAATCCACCCAACTGATTAGCAGAGCACACACAGCTTGGTTTTTTGTTTCTACTCATGGTGTACATATACATGCTTCAGTGCACATTTTTAAAAAAAGTGTTTCTGTACATGGATGGAAAAGATTAGAGGGAACATTGGCCATGACCCCTGTCTGTTCTACATGATAGGATTTCTTTGGGGCAATTAAAAAAAATGAAGATAACCCTGGATTTAGCAGGATAGCTTTCTCACAGGGACCAAAGATACATCTCACCCCATTTTATAGATACAGCACTATTCTATGAAGAACAGACAGGTTGGGATGATATTAATAGAAAGTTACTATAATATGGGACACTTTATATACACACCATTTCATAGGTTGTACTTAGATACTTAAATATATTTAAGTTTGTAATGCAGTCAGTGCAAAGTACCTCTCAGAAGTAGATGCAGACTAACAAAAACCATTTCTTTTCAGTTACCTGCAGAAACTTAGTATATACCTGCAGAAATTCGGTGAAAGACTGGACTCTTACCTAATGTAGTATCAGAGGGGTAGCCATGTTAGTCTGAATCTGCAAAAGCGGCAAGGAGTCTCGTGGCACCTTATAGACTAACTGAAGTGTTGGAGCATAAGCTTTCGTGGGAAAAGACCCACTTCGTCAGATGCACGTCCGATGACGTGCATCTGACGAGGTGGGTCTTTGCCCATGAAAGTTTATGCTCCAACACTTCAGTTAGTCTATAAGGTGCCACAAGACTCCTCGCCGCTTTTATCTAATGAAGAATCTGCCATAATTTAAGTCTTTAAATTTACTGAGAATTCAGCACGTATACATTAGCTGCTGAATAAAAAAAAGTTATTGGTAACAGCTATTTATATTTCCTTTAAGACTCGATGTCTCACTGAGGACTCAGATCTGCTGCTTGAATGTTTGTACCTTTGGTGCTTCAATTCTAGCAAGCACCCCGATTCATACAAAATGAATTTGTGTGTGTACATGGGGGGAGGGGGGGGGCAAATACTAATGTAAGTTGGACCGGTTGAAGACTAATGCAATTTCTATTTACCCTACAAATTTACCCTTAGTTCTGACAGTCCAGCTGAGTAATTTCTAGCTCAACAGGAACACAGGATCTATAGCTGAAGTTAGGCCTGCAGTCACTTTTGTGAAGAACCACACTTCAGTGTCAATTAAGTTTACCTATCAGTAATCAGCAATTTTAACAAAAATACATACCTTCAGATAGATAATGGCATCTGTTCCATAACCTGGTACAGAATATAGATTCAAATCTCCTTGAAAGTATTTAGCATATAGACGAGAAATTGGCAAGCCATATCCAAAACCAGCCTAGAAATAAAGTTAAGTACAACACATCAGCATTATACCTGTTTGAAGGGGACAGTTTTGATTCCTGAACATCTGTTACTGCAGAGGTTCTCCCTCACCACCCTCTGTCCTCAAAATTTTAACAAAGAAGCCTAATTTTAGAACACTGGAATGTTATGAAAAGAGTCAGTCTCATCCTCAATCATTAAATACATCAAAAGATCTTTCAGTTCAAGTCTTCAGTTGGGCCATGTCTACATTAGGAGATTTTCAGTTTACTAAATTTGACTTTTGGACTCCCGATTTAACAGATTCAAAGTTCCATGTCCTTACTATGGGGAAGCATCAAAATTAGTCTGAGGCAGACTTCATTGATTTGGACATGCTACCTCAGACTCAGAGCCCCAGGAAGCACTCTATGGAGCTATGGGAGGCTTTCCGGACGCCAAGAAGTTCAAATTAGTGACACCGAAGCATCTATACTAACATTATTTTGGACTTACAAATTTGGAATTAGTTATTCCTCATGAAAAGCAGAAATAAAAAAATTGAATTCTGTGGTCCCTTATTCCAGAAGGAGGAGCTTGGTAGTGTGGACACACTGCTTACTAATTCAAAGTTGGAGGGTGTTATTTCAGACTAAGGGGTTAGTCTAGACCAGGCCCTGGAGAATTATATATTTTTACACCTCTCACGTCACATAGTGTACTTAAGTTTACCCAGCCCTGCTTTCTCTTTGTAACCAGATGTGGCAGAAGTAGAGAGCTGGAAAGATGGCAAATTACTTGTTTTTTAAGTTTGTCTCCTCAAAGGCCCCAATTTGGAACAAGGATATGCAGAGTGCAAGTGAGAGAAGAGAGCTGAGATGCAGAGGGGCTGGCTACATAGCTTCAGAAAAAAAGCAATGGCTCCTATTCTATTCTTCCTAGCAGCAAAAAGTTGCCTCACTCCCTGCTGACAAAACCCAGCAACACATAAATTATAGGGTCAAGTGAGGATAGGGAGCAGAGATCACTGATCAGGTTGCAGCCCAGGTGGATAAAAATACATTTTAAAATGTCTTTAAAATTAAAATACTAAGTTTCTCATTGTAAGACTCTACAATTAAATTTCATCACAGACATGCTACCCCTACACTTACAATTTAAAAAATGAATTAATGGTTTTAGTCTAACTCATCAGCTCTTGCTTCTTGAAAGTTCTGGACTTTCAATTTGTAAGCAGATTAAAATCACATGTGAAAAGACAAAATGCAGGACGGACACTTTCGGCACATGATAGCATAGATTATATTTCTGGATGCGCAGGAATATGTGTTCTTGATCTTATAACTCACTTGGTTAGGTCCAATAATGGTATCAGCAGAATGAATATGTGGACGAAGCTGGCAACGGGGTTTGTTGCAAGGGAAGGTACCAGGGTTGGTATTAGTGTGGTATATGTGAAAAGACAGACATACTGACAATTTTTTTTGTATATGCTTATGTCGTAGTGGACCTTAATGAAGTATAACAGAGGAGTGACTTAAGACATGGTGTAAAGACATGTAAGTAGAGCAAGTACATAATGATCCAGTAATACTGAAGACAGGGTTGCATCTCTTTTAGAAACAATACATCAGGAAATGCCCACACAGAATATTTAAGAGTGACAGTGAAAGCTGTAGTAAACTGAACAAAAGTTTACCTGTCACATGTGCAGTTTTATCATAGACAATACTGCAAACATGGCAAAGATGAGAAAATACTATTAAGGAGCAGCCTTCAGTTTCTTATAAACATACAGCTGCAGTGCCAATTTTTAATAAAATACTTCCTTAACCTGTGATAGGACATCTGCCTCGCACTGGTCCTTTAAGGATTAAAACCCAGCTATGGGAGAGGACTGGAGGGATGGAGCCAGCAGCTGTGGCAGGAATTTGCCAATTAGAACCCAGCTGAAGGCAGTATAAATAAAGGCTCCTGGTGGGGTAGAGACAGAGACTGACTTATGCTTTAGCTGGGAAGCAGGACAGACTTAGCTGCCAGGGAAGGCAGAGACATCCTGACTTGAAGCAGGGCTGGGGAAAGGCAGGGATAGCTCTGGCCAGGCAAGCCCCCAGTCTGTAGGGCCTGAGACTACAAGAGCTGCAGGGAGACAGCCAGAGATAGGAAAAGGCAGCAGGTCTGCATCCCCTTTCCAAATGATGAGTGGCCATTTCAGATTGTAGTTTGCCCCTGTGGCAGGAGCTAGATGAAGACTGGCAGTAGGTCACTGAGGCAAGGTAGGCATAGGGGGTTGGGGTTCTCAAAGGGGGAAGACCCAGAGAGTGGGGACACTGCAGTAGGGCAGTACTCAAAAGAGAAGGATGCTACACTGTCTGGCAGGAACATGGGTCCTAACCCTAGGTGGTTGATGACAATAGGCTAACAGTGGGTGAAACACCAGCTGAAAGGGGGTGCTTGAGAATAGAAAAGCTAATTCCCAGACTGTCCAGCAAGAGGTACCTATGGTAGTGAGTACTTGTCCTGTTACACAACCATTTTGCGTCAGTTTCATGGAAGAAAGGAGGATCCAAATTAATTCCCCCTCAAAATGTTCAATGGAATTCTGTTGATTGTTTTGAACTGTTTATTAAAAATTTGCCTAATCTCAAAACTTTATGAAGAAAACTGTAAACAGATGGAAGTATCTCATCCAAAATATCTAAAAATTAGATTGAAGAATGTAGAGGATATACTCTGTATATTGAAACTTATTATCCATAGCCTTAAAACAGACTTCAGAGAAATTGCTGTTGCATTGCCAATGCTGACATTTGGAAGGCACCTAGAGACACTGAAGAATTATACCTCACCAGAAAGTTAAACTGCATGGAATAAAGAAGTGGATGTATCAAACACTAACACACTTCATTTTCTTGAAAATTTCTTTTAAAGATGTATTTTATAAAGGTAGATGCCTAACTTCTGAAGATGCTGCTGCTATGCCATGGGCATTAAAAAAAACCCATACAACACCAATCCTCAGTTATGCCAGTCATAATAAATTTCATGGTTAGAGGAAAACCATACAATTAGTACATGTTTATGAATGATGTTTTGAACAAAATTACTCCCTCTGAATTGGTGGGAATCATTAGCCAGGCACCTTAATACAGAGTTTGAGTTGCTAAGCCAACTTTTCACAGCAGTGGCTTCCTCTGGCACAGAGAGAGTATTTTCATCCTTTAGTATTATTCACACAAATAAGAAATAGATTGCAAGTTGAAAAAAAATTTGTTTTAGACTATGAATGAAAAACAGTGGAAGATAATAGCTAGATGTAGAAGTTAAGGATATTATACATTCAGGCTGTGTCTAGACTGGCCAGTTTTTCCAGAAAATCAGCCACTTTTCTGGAAAAACTTGACAGCTGTCTACAGTGACTGCTTGAATTTCTGCAAAAGCACTGACTTCCTACTGTAAGAAATCAGTGCTTCTTGTGAAAATACTATTCTGCTCCCATTTGGGCAAAAGTCCCTTTTGTGCAAAACTTTTGCGCAAAAGGGCCAGTGTAGACAGCTGAGATTTTTTTTGCGCAAAAAAGCCCCGATCATTAAAATGGCGATCAGGGCTTTTTTGCGCAAAAGCGCATCTAGATTGGCCACGGACGCTTTTCCGCAACAAGTGCTTTGGCACAGATGCTTTTCTGCAAATCTAGATGCTCTTTTCCGAAAATGCTTTTAACGGAAAACTTTTCCGTTAAAGCATTTCCGGAAAATCATGTCAGTCTAGACGTAGCCTCAGTGTTCTGAGGACTTATCTGTTAGAGTTAATAACATTTGAAAAAAAATTGAAAGAGTTTAAGGACAATCATCATCTGGCAACTCAGGAGGACTGCTGCAATTGCAAAAGCTAAACTTAACCTTAAATGTTACATAAATAAGATTCAAGCGCTACTGAGTCTGTGAGATTTAGTTACCATTTCTAATGTGCTGCTGCTGCATCTGCAGCATGACACAGGTAATTTACTAGATGAATTTTTTCAGAACTTGATTTGACAAAGAATATTCTCTTCAATGTTGTAAAATGCTGTAGTAAGCTGTAAATTAATATGTTTTAGTGATAAAATTTGCACCACTGTTTAAGACATGTGAAGAAATTAGTGGGAAACTTGATTTAAATTTGATTTTTTTGGGGGGGAGGGGCGATTAAAAAAAAGTCTACCCTAGCTACAGCTGTTCAGAAGAGAGAGATTCCAGCATACAGATGTCCAGAGGTTAAGAAAACCAGACAGTCATTAGAAATGCATCTCAGCTAGCACCAACCATTGCTGGGGGAATCTCACTTATTCTTCAAATATATAGCCCAATTTGGATTGTACATCTGAAGACAAACGTAGGACGGGCACACAAGCCATTGAGAGACTGCCCCCCTTAACACGCTTTGTCCATTTCTGCACTAAACATTCTTTGCTTTAAGATTTGTTTTTCTACAGGAAAGATTTTTTTTTTAAATGGAAAGGGTATGAGACATTAACAAGCTGCCTTAAGTGGAGATGGGAGAGATTTCAAGGTACAGCGAAGAAAGCCTTAGAATGCCACTGGTCCCATTACAATAAAGTGTATATTTTTTTATTGTGAAGTTCAATTTGCCTTAACTACCTTACAAGCAGTGTGACTGAGGAGATTTCAGGTACTTTACTGTCTTGCATGGAGTGTTTCTTTACAAGTTACAGTAGATTTCAGATCTTACCAAAGGTGCATTACGAGTGTCATCTAGCGCTGGTCTTGGTGCCGTAGAATACATGTAGCTAAACAGGAGATTGATTTTCCTCAACGGAACGCCACCTCCTCTGTCAGATATCTAATTAAAAATTTAGTCAATTGTAAGTTTAATAGAAATAGCAAGTCTGTAGTAGAAATAGCATAGCGCATTAGCAACTGAAACCATCCACCAATAACCCATCAGTTATTCCTGATTAGATACACAAAAACTTATATTTCTGAAACAATCTGTGTCAGTTATCTTAAAGAGAAAACTCTTTACTAGACATTAACTTTGTCTTGGTTGAGTCAGCAAGCTGTTAGACTGAATGTTACAACAAATGGCAGAAGATTTCATTTATGGGTATAACAATACGTTGCACTCTGTTCAGAGATATGATGCTATGAATATGACATTAAAATATTATGCAAAGTGAATCATGTGAGATTGTAAAGGCCGATTTACTGAATTGGATTATCCTACTTGTGTATATGCAGGATTTTGGTATCTGAAGTTAGGATTACTGTAAACGTATTTGTAATAAATGCATAGATAACTAGGAACAAGTGGGTTGTGCCCACAAAAGCTCATGGTACTAGCTATTTTTTTTTAGTTAGTCTCTAAAGATATGTCTAGACTACAAAGCTCCGTCGACAGAGCCATGTAGATGAGGTTTCTAGACATAGGGAAATGAAGCGGCAATTTAAATAATCACCGCTTCATTTACATCAAAGTGGCTGCCATGCTGTGCCAGTCAGCTGTTCGGCGACACAGCGCGGTAGTCTGGACGCTCTGGGAAGCCCTTGTTGACCGCGGAGCATCCAGACTACTGTGCTGTGCTGCCAAACAGCTGATTGGCACAGCGTGGCAGCCATTTTAATGTAAATGAAGCGGTGATTATTTAAATTGCCGCTTCATTTCCCTTTTTCGAGTACACTAATCTACATGGCTCCATTGACGGAGCCATGTAGTTTAGACGTACCTTTAAGTACTGCAGGACCACTCATTTAAAAAAAAGCTTAAGACAATGTAATCAGTCTAGTTGACCGACTGAAAAGGACACTAGTATCTTCTAAGACCTATTATTTTTCCTAATCTCTCACAAGGGAACCTTTCTGGAGGACATTATAGGCAACTTCTCTCCCATGATGCCATAGCCCTACATGGCCGAATCACTTGCTACTGCAGTCCATGAGAACACTAGTATTTTTCCACTGACTGATGGGGTGGGAATCAGACTGGAAGACAAAGGATTCCTGCCATATGCAAAAAACTATTTAAGGCAAGAAAGTGACATCAAGGTTCTCTTTCAGAATCCCTGTCCAAGAGAGCAGCTGTGAAAACCTAAGGAATGAAAGACTGGACTAGGAGAGAAGGACCAACCCCAGGCTAAAGCTGTCTGGCCTGCAAAAGGAATATCTGGAGTTTTAAGCTCTAGCGTTCAAGAATCTTCAAAATCTACATAGAACAGCTACATTTAGGATGAGAATTTGCTACTTATAACTAGTTAATTCAGTATATGGAGCTTAGATTGTGTGGCTGTGCTAGGTAACATGTTTTGATCTTTCCTGTCCCGTAGTCACTTTTTAAAAAATCATTAATGAACTTGTTTGTCTAAACCCAATGTGTAGGGAGACCATAACAGAGTGTTTTTGCAGGTCTTCCTCCACACTGAGGAAGGGGCAACTCTGAATTTATGCTGTATAGGTCTTTATGCAGTGCAAGACTGTACAATTTTGGGTTTATCTTCCAGAGGGTACTCTAGAGGCTACTCGAATACTGGGCAATTCCTTAGCTAAGCCTTCCCATGCAATGCTGATCACAGCAATTTAAGGTCATGTCTCCACTTGCTGTGCCGAAGATCAATCTTCTGGCATTTGATTTAGCAGGTCTAGTTAAAAGAAATAGTTAAGTCCTGCTAAATTGAATGCTGACGGTGACTCCAGTACTCCTCACTAGGGACGTAAGGGATAGTTAGATACCTGACCAGCATATGCTTATCTGGTAGTTGATTAGTGACTCGACTAGTTGCTTCCCATCCCTCCCCCTAATCAGAGAGGCAACGGGGGGGAGAGGGGGAACGCAAAGAACAGGAGCTGGTGCTTCCATCGACTACTTGAAATTTAACATCCCTACCCTTCATAGTTGCAAGGAATAAGGTAAGCTGACAGGGGAGTTTGCCCCTCTTGGCTTCTCTCTGAAGACTGCACCAAATTCAGCTCAAAGTAAGATGACTTCAGTTATGTTGCATACCTTAATCTAATTTTCCAGGTCTAATGTAGACCTGGCTTAAGTTCTGCAGGAGGGTGTGTGCTGTCAAAAGTGAGGGTATGTCTACACTACAGCGCTAATTCGAACTAACTTAGTTCGAATTAGTTAATTCGAACTAAGCTAATTCGAACTAACGCATCCAGACTAAAAAACTAGTTCGAATTAGCGTTTTGCTAATTCGAACTAGCATGTCCACACAGAGTGGACCCTGAACCGGGGTTAAGGATGGCCGGAAGCAGTGCCGGCAGGGCATCAGATGAGGACTTAAGAGCTGCTGTCTCAGGCTAGACGAGGGCTCTGCTTAAAGGGACCCGACCCCCCACCCCGGACAGACAGTTCTCAGGGGTGCCCCGCTTGCAAAGCAGTCCTGTCTTAGAGTGCCCTGAGTGCCCACACTGGGCACATCACAGCACTCGGCCATCAGACCGGCTGCATTTGCCGCAGGCTGCCATCTGGGGAGAGGGGGCAATTGG